ATAATACAGAATGTTCAAATACATGATAGTCTTGCTAATCAAAGTGTGATCTGTGGGCCAGCGGCACATGAGGAATGAGCTAAAGCTTGATAGAAATGCAATATATCTAGGCACATATTCTCAGGATCTCCTGAGGGCTGTGTCATAGGTCATTGGTCACTCATATTTGGCTAAGAAGAGGAGGAGGAAGAGGAGGAAGGAGAAGAAGAGGAGGAGGAGGAAGAAGATGAGGAGGAGGAGAAATAAGAAGAGAAAGAGGAGAAGGAAGAGGAGGTAGAAGAGGAAGAAGAAATGCATCATCTCACTGGCCACCAATGTACCACTGAATCAGAACCTGAATTTTAACAAGATCCTCATGTCATTTAGATATGGATTATCATTTGAGAAGCACTGGTCTAGAAAACTAAATCACTTTAGAGCTTCAGAAAATAGTGACACATCGATCACCACCCCGAGACTGTGATTTAATTGGTCTGGGTGTAAGCTGGGATTTTTCAAAGCTCCCCAAGTATTTTTATTATTCAACCAAAGCTGAGCAAACTTTGGTGGGCATTGGAATCACCAGGGAAACTTAGTAAAAATATGAAGGGCCAGGCCTTTTGCTACTTTAAAAACTTGGGTCTCTGAGCCCAAAATTCTCTATGTTTTTCTGACACACACTGAAGTTCGAGAGCAGCTGGTCTAGAGAAATTCTACTGTAGAAAATCCGGAAGTCTCCACTGTTCAGATGATGAATACTGACAAGATATGAATACATGCAGACACATTTCCAAAGACACCCACCTCAAGGTTCTCACTCTATTGTTATTTTAATAAAATACTAATCTGTGTAGTATTACCTATGAAAGGTCTTTGAAGATGATATTAACATTACTAATCAGCTGACCTTAAAGATTACCTAAGTGAGCTCAATTTAATTACATGAGCCTTTATGAGAGTCAACCAGAGAAGACAAGAGGAAAACAGGAGATAAATAGAATCTCACTTCAAGAGTCAACATCAGCCTAGTTAACAACCTTAAAAGAAAGATCACAGAAAATTGAGATAAAGGAAAGAAATAACATGAGAGACTTTCCCAAAACTAAAACACATTTGTTTCCATATTGAAAAGGCCAGTTGAAGAAAATAAAATGAATAAAAATAACAACATACCCACACAAAGAAGCATCACTGATATTTCAGAACACCAAACAATCATCATTTCCAGGAAGAAAAACAATCTCATCACATACAAAAGATTGAGTATTAGAATGCTGTAAGTCTTTCCAATGGCAACTCTGAAAGTGAAAAATCAATGCCATTAAAATTAAATGGAAATGATATTGAAGTCAATATTCTATCCCTAGCCAAAGTAGCAATTGTGCATTAGGGTAAATTCAATGTTTACCTTCAAAGCACTGTGTCGTAAGAAACTATTAGAAATATGAGTCAAAAAAGAGCAAAAAAAAAACGGCAAGGCATGAATTCTGGAAAAAAGTAGATGCACCTAACAACGAGAGCTGAAAGGAATTCCAGGATCGGAAAATGAGTGTCCTTGGATTACAGCTGTGCAAAAGGCCTAGAGATCAGTCAATCTAGATTGGAGGAAGGGGACAGAGAACTCAGAGATATGTCTGCAATGGAGAGGGAGGGAGGGAGGAAGGGGGGGAGAGAGAGAGAGAGAGAGGAGAGAGGAAAAGAAAAAGAAAAAAGGAGTAAAGGTATAAAAAAGAAAAGAAAGGGAGGGAGAGGGGTAGGGAAGGGGGAGGGGGCAGGGAGGGAAATGGGGAGGAAGTGGGAGGGAAGGGTTTGACCAAGAGTCTGCTGGTTTCTATGCTCAGCTTTGTAGATCTGTCTAATTCAAAACCCTGAACATGTTCTATATTTATTATTTGAAATAAGTGCATGTAGTTCAGTGTTTCTGAATAATGTAGCAGAAGCTTAAATTAACCCCCCTTTATTCAAATGAAAATCCTTCCTTTATTAAAATATTTTTGTTTGTTGTTATAAATTAGGGAACAAATTAGTAAATAGTAAAATAATATATTTTTATAAACTGATTCCTTGTGTTTTTCCCAGGAGTTTCCCTCACCTAAGAGAGATTCACTTTATATTTAGTAGTTCTTAACTTTTCCTTAGTTATTCCTATTTTAACTATTCATTTGATAAAGAAAATTACTGACTCCATATCTATTTTGAAATGAGGTACAATTATAACTACATAGATAAATCAAAATAATGACAGAGAAAAAAGAAAATTCAACAAAGTCATCTCTTGCTTAGGAAATGTAATGTTATTTCACAATGTATTAATACATTCAGTAACCTCATTACAAAATAATCATTAATAAATAAACCTGTGTTTTCATAAGTCACACTGATTGAAATGAGTGCACCATTTTGATCCCCATTTCTTTACTTGATGTGAAAATTTGTTTTCACCTGGAAGTCTCTTAAGAGAAGAGAAACAACGCATCATCAAGTTGGCTTGATAAGGTTGTTCAAATGTCACATCAAAACAGTGAGGATCAGCCCATTTTCTTGAGAAAGTCGGGCTAAATGAAGCCTCCCGGAGCATTGTTGTCCAGGACCAAATAAGGAATAGTGGCAAAAATCAAATATATCTAATACTCGATGGTGGCTTAAAAGTAAAATTTGATTTACTCTTTTGGCTTTTTGTGACATTTAATACCTATTATATTTTGTTAAGAGAACATTCCCAAGTTAATAAGACATGGAACAGCCTAAGTGCTGAAAATATATTTTAAAAGTGACCCAATGAAGAAAAAGTATTATTTTTGTATAGATTATAGTAGAAAAATGGGTTAACTCATCTCTAAACAATTTAATTTTAAAAGCACATTTAGTTAGAAAATTATGATATCTGGTCTCAAACAATCCATTTTAATCTAGGTGAACAATATACCTCCCTAGTCTTTGATCAGATCTGCCTTACTGATCCAAATCATTGAGCTGAATTCAACTGACCCATATTCAGTTGCTTTTTGGAAAACTAGAAAAATTGAAGTTGGATGACATATTAGAAACTAATAATTTCATTATGTAAATGACAAAACTAAAGTCTAGAGAAAAATGGATCATTTGTCATACACTTTTTAGTAGGTGCCATTCTGTTATTTTAAATTACTGTAATTGTTTCTCTCTACATGACAATTAGTAATATTACTAATCAACGGTATGTGTAAAATACTAGAATATTTTATGTGCATTGTTAATAACCCTTATAACAGACCAAGTTTTGTTTTGATACATGAAGAATCTGATTCTGAGAGAGACAATAAATTCCCAAGCCCCACATAGCAGTAAATGGTAGGACAGGACCTTCAAAGCCTGTACTGTTTTGCTGTGCCATGCTAGGTCCAACTTCAGTTGGCCCTATCATTTGATCTAGACATAATTAAAAACGAGGGAAAATCCATCTGCCAAGTTTTTCATACATGACCGAAGTTTTAGTAATAGATGCAGAGTGAAATTATCATTTGCTTCAACATATGGTTGCATTTTTTCTATGACTAAACTAATACTACAGGCATTTTTAAATGGTGAACTGAATTAATAGGAAATTACTGAAGCCTAAGGCTTGTGTTGTTTTAACAAATCCAGGTGGGCCATAGATTCCATAATGTTTCTCAATACATTAATAACTTCATACTCTAATTACCTAATGTCCTATGGTTATGTTTTAATTTAATTATAAAAATGAACATTAACACAATCATAAAAATTCTACTACCATAACTTTATACAATGGCTTGGTAAAAATACAAGAAAATAACATATACTGTTCCAGTAAAAATTGAATTCACCTAATTTCAATTATAAGAAGGAACAGAGAAGAAAATAGTAAACATATGCCATCCAGTAACAGGTTAATGCAACGTTAGAATTAATTTATTAGTATAATACAATGAGACTATTCTCAAGAAATATAGAAAAATTATTTTTTATTAACTATTGAGCCATTGGTAGAAAGAAAATTTTTGTTGGTCTCACAGGTGCTGGACAGTAAATCAAACTATAGATTCGTCCTACTATTTTTATCCAGAGGTATAAAAGTCAAAAAATACAAATTACTTCTTTCTGTTACTTTTGGAGGAAAAAAAGCTTGGGAATAGTGGAAATCTTGACCTACCAGTAGATTTATCAATCACTATAGCTTCATATTCTCCATAGTCCAGATCATTTTTTCTCAAAATGTAAAATTAATGATCTAAATTAATACTCAGCTTCCAATGGTGACACTTATGGGTGGCCCAATTCTCCAGGTCAAAATTTCTTAACCTTATAAACTCTCTAGAGACTCTGACATAAGCTATGGATCCTCTACCCATAAAAATGCTCTTCAGCTTATATTTACAATTTGTTACCTACCATTTTAAGGAATTTATGAATACCCTAATCAAGAACTTCTTGAAGGTAAGATTTCATCTGCAGAGTTATTCCTGGTATTTTATGAAAATTTAAGATACCATCTTATGAATTAAGAGTTATCTCAAGCAATAGAATCTGTTTATCCAGGTCCTTGAGTTGTCACAGTATTTAATATCTGGCATTAGTTCACCTTAATTATGATTTTTCATGCAAGGCTTAACTTACTGAGATTCAGCCAAAGTGAACTTTTCTCTTTGCTGCATTTTGTCAATCTTTCCTACTTTTCACCTTTTCTACTTCGATCTCACCAGCTATCAAAAATTAGCAAGCCTCAAATTTGCATTTTTATCTCTCTCACTGTTCTATAAGCTTCTTGAAAACACGAACAAGAGTTTAGTCACTTTTTATTCATACTGACGAGTCTAGTACCTTATATGTAGAAAGCATTTAACCATTATTTTACCAATAGAATAAATGTGCTAATAAAGTAGAACCTTTAGTGAATTCTATCAACATCTTTCATGCTCAACATCAAGCATTTCTGCCAGGTTCTGGATTCATTTTCAAGGAAAATTCTTCGGATCGAATGTTACGTTTTATATTTAAAAATCAGGTTGGGGGTTCGGCGACTGTGGGGCGGCGGGCCGCAGGCGGGGGCCATGGGCAAAGACTACTCCCAGACACTGGGCCTGGCCCGCGGCGCGTCGGACGAGGAGATCAAGCGGGCCTGCCGTCGCCAGGCGCTGCGCTACCACCAGGACAAGAACAAGGGCCCGGCGCCGAGGAGAAGTTCAAGGAGATCGCCGAGGCCTACCACGTGCTGAGCGAGCGCAAGCGCGAGATCTTCAACTGCTACGGGGAGGAAGGGCTAAAGGGCAGCGGCCCCAGTGGCGGTAGCGGTGGTGGTGCCAATGGTACCTCTTTCAGCTACACATTCCATGGAGACCCTCATGCCATGTTTGCTGAATTCTTAGGCGGCAGAAATCCCTTTGACCCCTTTTTTGGGCGGCGGAATGGGGAGGAAGGCATGGACATTGACGACCCATTATCTGGCTTCCCTATGGGCATGGGTGGCTTCACCAACATGAACTTTGGCGGCTCCGGCCCTGCCCAAGAGCCCACCCAAAAGAAGCAAGGTCCCCCAGTCACCCACGACCTTCGGGTCTCCCTTGAAGAGATCTACAGCAGCTGCACCAAGAAGATGAAAATCTCCCACAAGCGGCTAAACTCCGATGAAAAGAGCATTCGAAACGAAGACAAAATCTTGACCATCGAAGTGAAGAAGGGGTGGAAAGAAGGGACCAAAATCACATTCCCCAAGGAAGGAGACCAGACATCCAACAACATTCCAGATGATATTGTCTTTGTTTTAAAGGACAAGCCGCACAATATCTTTAAGAGAGATGGCTCTGATGTCATTTATCCTGCCAGGATCAGCCTCCGGGAGGCTTTGTGTGGCTGCACAGTGAACATCCCCACTCTGGACGGCAGGACCATACCCGTGCTATTCAAAGATGTCATCAGGCCTGGCATGCGTCGAAAAGTTCCTGGAGAATGCCTCCCCCTCCCCAAAACGCCCGAGAAATGTGGGGACCTCATTACTGAGTTTGAAGTGATCTTCCCCAAAAGGGTTCCCCAGACATCAAGATCCGCTCTTGAGAAGGTTCTTCCGATATAGCTACCTGAGCTCTCCAGACTGACTAGGGACCTTTCTAGGGCTCAAGGATTTCTGGACCTTTCTACCTATTGTGGACCATGAGAGGGCGGAGGGCCCAGGGAGGGTTTTCATACTGCTGAATGTTTTCCAGAGCATATATTACAATCTTTCAAAGTCGTACACTAGACTTAAGTGGTTTTTCTAGCAATAGGGCATCAGGTGGTGGGAACAGCAGGAAGAGGCATTCCAGTCTGCCCCACTGGGTCCAGCGGCCCTTCCAGGAGGGGCCCACATCCTCCTCCTCCAGTCCCTGTCCAGGGGTGAGAGGCAGACCAGCAGCTGGACTTGATGCCTGTGTCCCTTAGCTTATGGCTGGTAGATGGTGTCAAGCTGCTGCCAGACCCTGTACCTCCTCCATCTCTGTTGTGTGATCAGTTTGTGATTTATTCTGTATTGGTCTCCCATGTCTTATTCTTCCCCTGAAGAATCTTATTTTTCCCCTGAAGAATCCTGTCTTCTCTTTGGCCATCTCAAATTGAGAACTTCTAAACTATTCCTGCAGAACTGCCTGGCTGGCACCCACAAGTAATACCTCTTGTTCCAGCAGGACCAAGGGAGCCAGTCTCCAGCTAGTGACTCCAGTAAGTGCAGCCACCTCTCACTCGAGGGTCTGGGAGCCTAGCCCCAGCAAGGGACCCTCTGGACCTCTGGCTCTAGGGAAGCTGAATGTGCTCACTATGGGTCACATTTTCCATTTCTGTAAGGCAATCTTGTCATACCTGGGCCATACCAGTGGCCTAGGTAATTTTTTGTTTCATGGACTCTGGACTCTTTCAAAGGGATCTGATCCTTTCGAATTTTGCACAGCCCTAGAAATAATCCCTTTTGATAAAAGGGTCTTTGCTTCTGATTACAGGAGCACTGTGAAACGTCTGTAAATATGTTTTTATAATTAATTCCATGTATAGTTGGTGTACACTCAAATAAAACTGGTCCCCGGCAGCCACTGCTCTCTGTACAGGGCCATAATGGAATGCTGAAGAAATCTTGGGGAGGGACGTGGAGTTGGAACAAATGTCTGTTCCCTCGACACCAGTTGGGTGCTCAGATCTTTAAACTCATTGTAAGTTGCCACTGCAAACATGAGACCAAAGTGTGTAACTTGTCAATGCAGTGCGACAGCATTAAAGACTGATGCTAAACCTAAAAAAAATAAATAAAATAAAAATAAGGTTATTCAGTCATGAGAAACAATAATTTATATAAATTTTTAAGTTTTTAGCTATTTTTGTGCTTACAAACTCTCCTGCTGCTCTCATATTTAAAGAATTAGGCACATGTATGGCACCATACTGGCACATATTAATGCCAGCACTGTAAATATTAATTTATAATACCCACAAACAACATTATATCACACTGAGATTCAGAATTTTTTCTGAGATAAATTCTTTGTGGTTAGATTTTTTTATACTGTATGTATTTAATATAGTATGTTTTTAAAAGCATTCTTTCTAAGTCTTTAGAAATACTTAATAATGATAATTTTTCACATTCTGAGAAAAATATCAGAGGATATTCCTGAAATTTGCACAAGGTTTCAACGAGAATCACTGAACCAGATTGAAAACTTTCTAATTTGGAAGACAATAGTCTAGAAATGGTAAAATAGGAAACTATATTAAGTTTTAAGAATAGTTTCCTGAAAAAAAAATTAATTTGGAGAATAAACCCAAATGAAACAACGTATGTAAACATGAAGTTTCCTATGAAAAGAATCAGCTATAAAAAATTGTAAAAGCTTTATCGAATTTCTAGTTCTTGTTCATGGTTTAGTAGAGTGAAAAGGCTATGATATGGTTTGGCTGTCACCTCACCCAAATCTCATCTTGAACTGTGGCTCCTATAATCTCTACTTGTCATGGGAGGGACCTGGTAAAAGGTAAATGAATCATGGGGGCCAGTTTGCCCCATACTATTCTTGTGATAGTGAGTAAGTCTCATGAGATCTAATGGTTTTATAAAGGGGAGTTCCCCTGTACATTCTCTCTTGTCTGCCACCATGTAAGACGTGACTTTGCTTCCTCTTTGCCCTCTGCCATCATTGTGAGACCTCCCCAGCCATGTGGAACTGTGAGTCAATTAGACCACCTTCCTTTCTAAATTACCCAATCTCAGATATGTGTTTATTAGCAGCACGAAACCAGAATAATATGGGCTGCTACTGCCCCTAATCTGCCTCCAGAGCCTCCCTTTCTGGCAGTCATCTAATCCAGAGAAAAATAAGCATCTAGTTTAGAAATGAAATGAGAGAGTACATAAGTCAGCAAAAAAAGGAAAAGTTTTCAGTTAATAAGTCTAATAGAGTTTGGATGTACGTGGCTGCCCAAATCTCATATTGAAATGTAACCCGTGTTGGAGGTGGGGCCTGGTGGGAGGTGATTGGATCATGAGGGCAGATTTCTCCTGAATGGTTTACCACCATCTCCTTTGGCACTGTCCTCATGAGAGTGAATGAGTTCTCATAAGATATCATCGTTTAAAAGTGTGTTATCACCTCCCCTCTCGCTGTCTTGCTCCAGCTCTCACCAACTGATGAACTTGCTCCTGCTTTGCCTTCTGCCAAAAGTAAAAGCTCCCTGAAGCCTCCCCAAGAAGGTGCTGATGCTATGCTCCTGTGCAGCCTACACAACAGTGAACCAATTAAACCTCTTTTCTGTATAAATTACCCAGTCTCAGGAATTTCTTTATAACAATATGAGAACTGACTAATACAAAGTCTGTATTTTTTATATTGGCAAAGAAACAATATTATAACACTCACTTCCCCAAACAGTCATAGAGTGAAGCAAATTGTAGTCTTAATAATCACTTTGTTCATTGAGGAAAGGAAGGTATGAGTAAGAACAGAAAGTAAACCAACACTTACAAAGACCAACCCGTTTCTTAGGTTTTTCACAGACGTTTTCTCATTCAGTGTTCACAATGTGCCCTTAACACAGACATAATTAATTCTGCATTATCAGTGAGGAAAATGAGACTCACATAGCTAAGTGTATTGCCACAAGAATCCCAGATACTAAGTGTCAGAGGCAAAACGCCAGTCAAGATCTGTCTGAATCGAAGAACCGTTCTCTTTTCACTGACTGTATGACACCATCTACTAGATGGAGGAAATGAGGAAAGTCAGTAAAAAGAACATTTGTGATAAAATATTTTGGTTAACATTGACAGTGATAGAGACAGAGTTCAGGGAAGGAGATAAAAATCTACAATATTTGTTTCTTGCCTTACCATGGATATTGGATTTTAGTTCCACAGTGGATATGTGGTAATCATAAAAGGAAAATGAGCTGTATAGAATTAATTGGTAGGAGAGGTTTCAACATGAACCTAAAGCCCTGTATTTGAAGCTCAGTAAGAAGACAAAAATATCCAGAGGGCAGAGTTAAAAATGAGGAGGCTGCTTCAGAAATGAAAAGTATAAAGGCTAGAGATTATATTTAGTTAAGACATGTGAGTCAGCAGCAATAAGTGAGGCATGAATTTTTAATGTAGTTGACCATGAGATATCTGACTTGTTATATTTTTTATACTTAAATAAATTATATTATGATTTCAGTGGCTGAGAATCACCTTTGGGTATCCATTGGGTCAAAAGACCAATTCTCTGCTTTTCTTCTATAGATAGTAAAAAAATTCTCGTCTAAAGGCCATTCTTCTCAGCCCCAGTGTTTGGCTTTTCATTACTTCTTTAACAGTGACTCTTTTTCCTATGTTGTCAAATAGTTGAACACATTCGGAGTGGTTCAATGCATGGCCAAATTTCACATCAACATGACAGACTCTTTGGTGGTAAACTACAGTGAAGTTCCCCACCCATTTCCCAACCTAAAGTGTCATTTCCACTGAGCTAATTCCTACTGGAGATGGATAACATACAACTGAATGCCAGTGAAAATCTCTGTCTTTCCCAAGTAGTTCTGCTGCAAGGTATACTGACTGATGATAACTTAATAAAAGTGTAAGGAGGAGATCAACAAACTTTACCACAAAATAATGGACAATCTTGATGAATATGATCGATCAGTCTTAATGGATGCAATGTCCTTTAGGTGAAATTTTCTAAGCAGACTGCATCTCAGAAGCTAGATGAGATCAAGAAATAGAGAACTTAGAATATAAAACTAGAGGGGAAAGTAGGTGAATATAATCTCCCAAAAGGGAAAAGAGCCTGATGCCAGAGAGTAAGTGCTCATAGCTCCCTGAGATACGCTGTCAAGTTGAACTCAACTCTTTGATGATCCCTGAACAAGTCTGCAAATTTCTCATCTTTGTTAGTATAGTTTCTATGAGGATCAGATCTCAGCAAGTGATGAGAATTACCACTCTGTGAAAACGTTCAGGCCCAGAACCTAGGTAGACAATGAAAATAATTGGCTATTTCAGTAACAATGAGCAGCAGGCAAGGCCAGAAGTTCCACCATCAGTTTCAGCAGTATCTACTATGTGGCAACAATTAAGCGGATTAGAGATACACATGGGTGCATAGCCACAAACGAGTTAGGTAGCTGGTCACAGAACCCTGTTAAAATTCAAAGCATTTATTTTCTCAGAAGAGGAGAAAAGCAAGTCAGTTAGGACCTAAACACTATCTGATGAGCGAGGCACTGTTTATTCATTCTTCCAAAAACTACTTGAGTGTCTGTTATATGTCAAGCACTGATGAGAAAAATGGGATGGAAAAGCCTAGGGAAACCTAGACCATTGGACTCTGTGTGTCTAAGAGGTTCTGATTCACAAAAAAAAAAAAAAAAAAAAAAAAAAAAATGATGCTTGCATCAGGGGAAGATGATGGGGACACAGTAAGAGTTCCCATAAACTTTAAGCTGGTTAGTTTAAGCTCCTTGTGCCAGTAAACCAATAAGCACACACACACAAAAGAGTTATAATACTGGGAGAGGTAATTAACCCTGCTCATCAAGAGAAAACAGAAATGCTACTACATACTAGGAGCTTAGAGCTATGGGTCTGGGACTCAAGTGATCCATTAGAGCTTAATACTCTCTGGTCAAGTGTACGCTCTAAATGGCAAAAGGGAATGGGATTTCTCAGATATCTTGAATCTGAGAATGTTCCTGCAACAAATCATGTGACACCAAATTCATTTTTTGCCTT